CGATGAGGTAAGAAAGTGCTACGTAAATGCCGCTAGACTAGGGCACCAACCTGATACATTTGTAGGTGTGCTGGTGGATTGCCTACTTGTGTTTTTGATGTTCTCAGTTTTAATGACCATATTAAGTTAGAGCACATCATTTAAAATCACAACCCAACATTTGAAAAACATCCAAATTCGAAAACACTATTTTTAGAAGTGAAGAATCATTGAAGTTACAAGGAGGAATGGCATGAGAGCCACTATGACCTGCGCGTGTTGTCCGAAGTCTGCTGCTGCGTCTTGCTTGACCAGCAGATGTTTTTGTTCCGCTGCAGATTTCATCTATTTTAGGGAATCTGCAAAATAAATTTCGTTCTTCGATCAAAAGCCGTTACACAAGGAAGTCTAGCAACTGCTGCAAGATGTTGAAGCATCAGTTCTCGAAAAGATTTCTTGAACATATTGCGGGGTGTCGGTTTTTATTAAAGTGCAACATGACCGGTCCGTATGAAAGCGAAACCAGACGGTGGGTGAAAGGGAACGACGTTCACGCTTTCCGGGAACGGGTGATCGCCGTTGACCCATCATTTCCCCTCTACGTATCTAGGCTGTGATTCCATATCGGTGAACCTTTGCTTTCACTTATTCTAATCATTCATCAACCTACACTGACAATTGTCTTGATGATTAATTGCGCAATTCTTCACGTTTCTAACGCTGACTTACTGTGAAAACAAGTGTTACTGTAAACGCAGAATCTAACTAAGTGGTAATGTTCTTTTTTTGGGAAGAACGGTGCTAAACAGTTTTCAACGTCGTATGTAAAGCGTTTAATGACCAAAGTTGTCAATGTTCTGATTCGCGACAATGCCTTTCATAGATTACCATTTAGGAGCTGTCCTTTGCAAGGGAGAAAGTGTTTAGCTTTTTTTCTATTTCTGTTTAGCTATGAGGTGGTGTAGAGGAAAGAGGCGCACTTCACACGTGCATGCCCACGGTTCGCACCTGGATCGATATCCGCCTAGGCCAACCCCACCTTTCAACCCTCCAGGATTGGTTAATTGATACCAGGCTCGTCTGGGATGATAAAGTACTGGCTTATACATCGGCTGGCTATCACAAGTCATTGTATGGCCCCCATACGCATTCATTACGCCACTACGATTCTAAATGGAAGTCGAATGCGTGGATGCATCTCTCAGACGAGATCGATCGATGCCCCATAACTTTATCCTTTAACCTATTTAGCTATAATACTACTTACCGCCATACCGTAATATTTCTGTTCCAAGTTGGGTTTTGATGGTGGGGTCTTCAATAGGCCTCCTCACTTTGAGATGAATGCTCTTTTTACATTTGATCAGTTGGAATTTAGAATAGTTAGCAGTTAACAGTATGGGAACTCCCAGCAACTCAATCTACTTTTTATGTAACGATCGACCAGCTTTCACGCAGTTCATTAGTTCGGTGAGACGGGTAGTAGGTTTTTGTGTAATCGATCCGCCGCACGCGGCTGCCGCGGATCATTTGCCTCATTATAACAGCTCTAGAGTTCTTCATACAGGTCAAACGCCATGCGATTATTACATTGGGCATGATTTTACTGTTAGTTCTTTTGTTCTTGTTCTTCTTACCTGCTGCTGCAATCTGCTACATTTTTTCGCACGCGACGTCTATCTCGATCTCGACGATTTCGTACCTCTTTCCATTAGTTTGAGATGTACCCGGCGTTCTCTCCTTACCCAATCTCTTTGCTTCCCTTCCACTTAGAGAAGGGTTCATTTCTAGGATATTATATCACTCTACTTGACGGTCAACATTATGTAAGAAAGTCGAATCGAAATTCTTTTTACTTTACTGAGATTACTTTCTCTGTTGAACTGGGTCAAGAAGACCTTGATTAGTTACGTCGCTTCAAGACATGCTGAAACTGACCATTTATTACGTTCCTTTGACGGTACCGATATTTTTGGTACCTATTTCTTCCAAGTAAAAGTAGTAGCTCGAAACTGATCTTCACCTAAGCTGGCTTTTTTAAATCCACACTTCTCTTTGGAAATGATCTCCGATATTTCTACTTCTTGTAAACCTGTGACCCGCAAGAACAGCCTAAGAGACGCGGTCGAGTCAAAAAGCGGCCAACATATGGTGCAATAAGGGCCTCAGAACCGGCTCAGTCGACGTACACGCCCAAGACGGACGAGTTCTTAAGCGTTGTAAAAGCTGTAGAGATTGCACCATTCGTACCGGGACCCATACCTTGCACGCAGGCGTTTACTGCAGCCAGCTGTATGCAATGGCGCGCGCATTTGAATAGCTCATCCAAATGTGCCTTCCATGCAACATCTGTCGTCACATTCTCGTCTAACCTCTAAACTTGCTTTTTTTTCAAAGCGATCTTCTCTGAATACGTCGTTTTCGCGTTTTCTTCACCAATTTGCACCACTCTAGACGATTGTCTCCATCTAATATCTAAAACTAAATACCCCAAAATTTTAATTGGATGGGCCGAGTTTTGTGTTTTCGACTATGTCGAAGGCGACCATCTCAAGAGAAAACCAACGATCTTGTGGGGCAAATTGCTTGTTTACAATATCTATATGTAAATAGCTTCTACCTAATACATTTATATCCTCATTCAGACCATTCCGAGTAGAAGCCAAAAGAGATCTCCAACTGGTTCACTTTCTTTCATCTGAGCCGCCTCTTCTGAGGTGAGTTTTTGAATTTTAAAAATTGACATCAAATTGATTTTATCGCAAGATATTTTTGAGTGTTTTCACTGTTCTTCGAGAAAGAAAGCTAATAGTTCGGGGATTGAACAGTTCCATCCGATTACTTTGAAGTCATAGCACGACAAACGGCCGTTTAATTGACCTCAATGAATGTGGCGATTGTCGTACACAATAAAACAAACACGGGATTTCACCCCTTCGTAACGTTTACCTTCATAATCCTACTTAAATTATGCTTTCTGTTACAGCTATACGGTAGAAGATCGCCAGTTATTGTTAGCTATCGACTGATATCATAGCGCTGTTATGTGTTCTGTCAGTATCCGTTGATAGCCGAACTCTGACTTCTCAATCCATTACTTTTACCAGTACATGTAGTTGCTGTTGTGGTTAAAGGAGCTTAGTATCGATTGCTTGTCCGAGCCCAATACAAATCGATATTCATCGGTATTGATTGATTGACATAACTGAGGAAGTGTACACCTTGACATGAGCTGTGTTATGAAAGCGCTATCAGTAACCTCGTTATCAATGCGCCCCTCTGGGTGTTACTACCTCAGTTGATCATGGGTTTGACCATGGGTCACTGCCCTTCAAGAACGTAGTTTTGCGGACCTGCAGACAGACCGACAGACCGGCTTTGTGGAGGAAAACCTGCACACGACCGATCTTTGGCAAGTCGTCCCCTTAATCGCACTTTGAGGTTGATTGAGGGGTGAATCGGCAAAAGTAGGCCGTTTTCTCTTTCAAAGTGGGATAGTTAGACGGTCAGCGACTAGCGACGGAAATGACTTGTTGCGCCCGCCATCCATCTTCTTGGTTAAACAACGTCTCTGAAATTATCTGCTCATTTATGACCATATAACCAATTACTTCACGTCTTTTTGTGAGTAATTACGTCAGATAGAGGATTGTCCGAGAAGGTAAATGCTAGATATTCACTTTAGATGGAATCGGTAGGAGAAATATTCCGTATTTCTACCAAGGCGACCCCGTCAGCTTTGTTCCCTATCAGTCTTAGAACGAGCTTATCCAGTTATACGATCGAGAGAACATAAAAGCTTTTCAATACACTGAAATCGTTCAGGAGTCGCCAACAATTGGATATGCCAATCAGTTGGCTCCGAAACTCCTTGTATATCTTACTGGTAATACATACTGTTCATTTGGATTCTACTATTGAAAACTGTACACTCAACAACTCATGCCATGACCGAGGGAATCTCACTGATCACGGGCAATCTCGACTACGGCTGAGACGTGGTTTCTTTTACATCCGTTACTAAATAGCTACTAGGCATTTGAGAATTATTATCCGAAAATTATGGGTAAATTCATGCGCAGACTTTTCAGCCCCACCGGCTCAGTGCACACCTTCGCTCAAAGATATCTCTTATACGCTGAGAGATGAAACTTGCTGTGATGCAACCATTCCATACCTTGTCGACAATCAACTGAGCACCAGCGATGGAATGGGTGCAATTAGTCGAGTAACGAAAAATTCGTAAAAAAATTATTTTTTTATTTGGCATTTAAGAACAGTGATTTTATTAATGCACCGTTAGTTTGGGGCGGAGTTGGCGAGCCCCATGTGCTCTTCCTATTGGTGGACCAATGGGGGGAGCGTTATGATCTCATCACTTCCGCCATTGGTTCGCGGCAAGCCCCATTAGGACCAGTGATCGGGAAAGCCCAATAATTTTGCTCATTTCAGGCTGTTCAAAAACGCGTTCAATCGCGATTTAATCGTTCCTTTGAAGTCATCATATCTGAAGCGGATTTTGTTATCAAAACATATTACTCTGGTAGTCGACAATGTAAATTCGAAACTGATCGCTACTATGTAGCTCTTTATGAAACTCCAACACAGGTTTGTAATTTGAAAGTTGAGTTGTTTACATTCGTCTATAGCGTCATCTTTACGATCAATTTCCCACCGACAAAGTCTGGACATTCAACTCGCTTTCGTTGAAGGCTAGCCAAACGGAATTCCCGTGATGAATGTCGTTTTATCATTTTCAGTACGATCTCAACAATGTCGCTAGAGAAAACGAGCTGGCTAGTGTGGATAGCAGGGATCCTCTGGGATGGAAGCAAGCTCCTCTGGCAGTCCCAGAAGACTTTCAAGGTATGTTCGGGATTCCATATTTATTTGAATGAAAAAATTCATGATGGCGTGAAGAATGGCAAAGTAAATGCTCTAATTCATCTGAAGGATTTGGTACCACTATAATAAAAACTGGATGTACGAGCCGGACTCAGCCATCCTATTCATTTACGGTTTTTTTCTCAATTACGTCTTTTTTGTTTTCTTCCATCTATCAATTCGTGTGCCTCAAACTCTCCAGAACCATGCTTGTCCTCTTTTTCTTAATAAAACACGCTTGTATTAGATAATTCTCGATTTTCCACATTGTTTCGATCTGTGGAAGTGTTTGGATTGTTTTCGAAACGTTTAATGGGGCTTGGCTTAATGTTCCTGAACTTTTCTGAACATACTCCAGTGCAACCCCACCTTTACTACCCTAACGCCGCATTTCGACATACTTGAAACAAGCTTTGGCACGCTTTTATTCACTTTGAAGGGCTCCCTTTTATGTCTAGTCAGGTTGCAATATTCGTGAAAAGCCATGGCACACAACAAGGGCTGTGTGTCCTGGCTCGAACGTTCGGTTACGGTGCGGTTCATGTCCTAAAGAACTATCACGGGCTCCTATTAGTGACACGTTCTTCTTACCGTCTGGTGTCTCTTGTGTTCTACCGGTATGATTGCGAAATTCGACATGTTCCCCTCGCTGTCGCCCCTCTTCTTTGGCTTCATTTAGAATCTTTCAAAAAAAAAGACACCTCTCTCTTTGATTTTATTGCACGATTGTTTCTCGTCTTATTTGATTACGTGCTAGAAACTTGCCATGGAAAAAGCAGGAACACTTGGGCCTAGGCAATGAGGTTGGGTGATTGTTTGAAGACGATTTTAGCAACAAACTAGAAACCGAAATTTCTCAGATGAAATAGGGTAAGCTCTAAATGAGGAGGGGGCACCCGCCATATCCTGCACAAAACGATAGAGCACAGAGAAGGAAGGATACCATGTACACGAACCCTCAACGATTCCTAGCTAGGGTATGTAATTTTCTTTCCAGGAGGAAAGGCGCACAGGGGGGAGTGAGTCAATGAATGTTCAATTTCTCTCCTTCCTCAGTTTTTGCTAAAGATCTTTATCTCACCGTTAGACGGGTAGAAGGAACGGTTTTGTGTAATCGATCCGTCGCACGCGGCTGTCGCGGACCATTTGCCTCGTTGTAATAGTTCTAGCGTTTTTCATACAGCTCAATCGCTTCCATAGGCTTAGATGAAGATATATATTCTTTTGGCTAGAAAGTGTCTCTGAGCACAGATTAAGACGGCTTCCTTTAGCGCCTAATGTTGAAGACTTGGGATGCCCCCGCCTCCCAACTTGACCTTCTTTAAAAGTTTTTGAAGAGAGATCATCGAAATATGAGTTGACTGGAGAGAGCAAATTCTTTAGTTAACCATTACAAAAATATGATCTGTCTCTAAGATTAACACGAGTTTTTTCAGATATTGGAATTATCGATTCAGAAGCAGGTTCACCTGCTAGTAATAAGGTTCTTCCTGGAGATGACTTCAATCTTAAGACACCCATAGTTTCCGTTGCTGGAAGTACCGATGGGAAAACGGGCACATTCAGAAGACAAGCAACTCAAGACTCAGCTGCCACTTGTGCAGGGAGGGGACCAAACGGTTTGTTGTATTTTACAACTACATCGTACAGCATTTATCGTACGTATGATTGTTTTTCCAAAAATCCGCTGAAAAGTAAACCTTTTGTTACCCCGCAAATGGTGTGTTCATTATGTTTCCTTCAATTCTTTTCAAGTCATTTGGTACAAACTGCAAGACGTATGTTACCTGTCTTATAAAGAATTGTTTATCATTATTGTGTGTTGTTATAGCGAAAACGTCCGTGCTTATTATTTTACTGTAAAACATTACTCCCTTATTACTGGAGTACTGAATACTCACTGAACCACCCTGCACAGGCTATTCCTGACCGGATACGTATAGCTTGTAGGTGTAATAGCTCTATTGGTTAACAAGGTAGGACCCACCAATGGGCAATGCCGCTTACACCAGACAGTACCGCCCACATGCTTAGTACCAGGGCACGAGGTCAAGGCTTACCTAGAGTTAATCTCTGGCCAATGAATAGCTACACATGCCTTCAACCTAACTCGTTTAACATACCAGTTTGTTATTGGTATTATCTTTTGGTTTCTAACTTTATATAATCTATGAAGTGTTTCAGCAGATGCCAGTACACCGCTCACGTTCTCGGCTAATGAATGTTGTGATTCCCGTCTTGCCCAAATTATGAGAAGTGCGGCCGATGACTCCCCTTCATTTGCTCATTTGGGAGATGCTGCTAAGGTAAAAAGACTATGGGCTAGTTCTAGTTTGACTATTGGACCTTTTCGCCCCGGAAAATCTATTTTTGATAAGTTTCATTCAATTTCCTACGTGGAAAGCCTCAGANATCTGTTTAGTTCATTCAACGACGAATCCAGTTGGAGTACTTGTTATCATTCGAGGTAATCATTAGTGCAGGGGATTTTGCAACTTCTACATACTACCACGGAACAAATACTTGTAAGATACGCGTGGGACAATATAATGTTCTGGCATACGAGACACCCGTTCAGGTGAGTTGGGATTTTTTTCGAAGGAATTTTATTAAGTGTGCCTTAAAAATATGTAACCACCAAAAAGCTTTTCAGTATAATCCGTTCGACATTGTAGAAGAAGACTTTCTAGCCAGTGCAGATTCTGAGGAGCCTCTAGGGTGTAAGACGTTTCAAGTAGCTATTTTAGTAATGAATAGATGAAAGCAAATTTGTTCCCTGCTAAAAAAAGTTTTTCTTCTCAACAGTTCCTCTTATATTCAGTTTTTTATTTTCTCTTATTTTCTCTTTTTTTTCCTTTTTCAAGTTGTCGCGCTCGCAATGCGTGCTGTTTATAGTCGGCAAATTGGCGACCAGCTGCAAGCGCTGTCTTTTGCAATCGCTGCAGCTAAGCACGCTATCACTAAGCCTTCAACAATAAAGTTGTCTTGTAATAGTTGCTCGATCAACTGCCTTTTTTACAATTGATCATTCGGATCTATCGTTCCATCGTTCCAATGGAATTGATGATCCATGATCTATCGATTGGCTGCAAATTTGCTGCTGAATACCTAATTGGAACTATGGCCGCCACCTTATTTCAAAGTGCTTTTAATATTGATTTATGTTAGTGGCAATGCTTTTTTTAGCACGATTTCAAGATTTTTATAGTTACCAAAAAAGTTAGTTATAATTAATATATAAAGTAAAGGTAAGCACAATATAAATAAATAAATATATATATATATATAACAGTTGTGAAATTATTATTTCCAGCTTCAAGGCCTACAAATGTACGAGGCGATTTTCCTGATATCAGAGTCGATCCTTCTGCAGGAGGTTTGTACCAAAAAACTATCTCATCCAGCCGTAGCTTTCTACACGATCGCGATACGTATTGATTTTTATAGATGACCTTACAATCCAGCCAAGCCCTCGGGAAGCTCGTGCAAGGGCTTTTCTAGGAGGTGTGTAAATATCATATGCGACAACAATTGCTGAATCCAACAGTTTCCCTTGCAGCTGGTGGAGCTGGAGTAACTTCGGAGCATGACGTTTCCGATATTGATATGGTCCCTCCTGGGCAAAGCGCGATGCCTTTGACAGTCATCGATGGCTTTCACGTTGGAGGTAATCGAAGTTTGGGAGTGACAACCAGAAAAGACTTGGAAGACCTGCCACCCGGTAGTCATTGTGATAAACAAAACCGTACAGGTAAACAGGTTTATTTGAAAAATAAGTTTCGATATCAAAAACGAGTGAATTTAAGGGGATATATGCTGTAGCAGTGCACTTTTTGAGACCATGACGGACGCTTTCTATGAGATGAGCAGTTCACCCGAGTTCTCCTTCAGTAGTGCGGGAAATCTCGCCAGTGTAAGTTGTACTTAGTGCCTAAAACAGTAATTCCTGAAGCATTTTGTGATTTTCATTTTTATTCAGTTCATTCAAAAGCGAGTACAAAACCGATTTGGTCTATCATTTGAAGTGATCGTTTCACCGGGTGATTTTGCTTTAGCCTCGTATGGAGTTAGTGATGATATTTGTAAGTATCATGAACGAGGCTTCGTAGCAATGGCCTATGCTACACCTATACAGGTAAGACCAGATATTTGTTTAAACTTTGTTAGTAACCATAAATACAGAGCGCCATTACTGACGTGACAATGAAAAAATCTTTTAAGACGTAGATGGATAGTTTGAAAAAATGGACCCTCCGCTTATGGTTGACTGCTAGTTACTGTTACTTCTTTTTTTCCCGAAAAAACTGCCAACCCCATTGGATTTTGCAGGTACCGCGGTCGCGTCGCGGTTAACGACGTCATAGGGCGCACTCTTGTTGTCACAACGTCCTAGCTGCTACAACGTTTTCTGTGCTGATTAAATTCATGGGCAACGCTTTCCGGAGAGAGGATGATTTTTCTTGAAGGGAAATTTCCTGTCACGCGGCCGCTTTAGCCCATACTTCGCGTCAACCGACAACGTATGACGCCAACAGCTGCGACAGTTGCGGATTGACGCGAAGTATGGGCTAAAGCGGCTGCGTCACAGGAAATTCTCCTTCAACATAGTTTTTGCGATCAATTTTCACACATTTTATTACTACATTAAATTGAAGGGCTAAGCTTGAAGAGAAGATATAAGCGGTAGTACTATTTGTTTATTTGTTGGAGCTCAATGGCTTGATCGAAGGGGGAAAAACAAAAAAGGAATGGAAAACTCATGTATGACACTTTCAGTACGACATTACACGACTGGAAGACGAGGAATACTTCTCGTCGATCTCGTCGCGCGATGATCTTGGGGCTACTGAACCGTACCTGCCTGAACAGCGTCCTTTCCACACGCCATTAGCGCTAGAGACTGAAGGAAATCGAGCCGGATTCCCCAAAGGGTCCCATTGTTTGGCAGCCGAACGCGCAGGTAGTAATCTTTCCACTGAAGTTAGCGATTTCCATTTTTTTAAATCAGCTCCAAGTCATCGAAAAATGTCTTACTCAAC